AATTATTAACTTAGTCATATTAATTTAACAAGTCCGCAATCAGAAGGGTAAGAAAATGTTGCCAAAATTTCAAAATAGCAAACAAATTTTGGGATGAAATTAAGGGGGCAAAGGCTCCACTGCATTAAAAAGGATTACAAAGAGAGACTTAAACATTTATATTCATTTGTCAATCAAACAATGTCTCATACAAATATGACACAGCGTGCCATCCTTAAATTTCCATCATGAATAAGCTTCAATAAGAATCCAATATTAATAGCTACTGGAAACATCAATCAATAGTGCCCTACTGCAAAAAGCACAACCTTGCCTTTTTTTTTTTTTAACACCAACAACTCTTGAAGTCCCAACAAAGATGTACATAAAAATTAATGCCTTCTAGAGTTGTTTGTGCTAAAGACTAGGTTGTGCTGCTTACTCTTAGGCCACTGATTAGTGTTTTCAATAGTTATTGAGATTGATTTCTGATTAGAGCTTATTCATAATAAAATTAATTTATGTATGGATTGCAGAATGATAAAGAAATTGGAGTTTATCTTTCTTTGATCGCGGCGAAGTAAAAGCCAAAAAATAAAAGAATAAATTCAAAGGTAGAAGCATAAATTTGAGTCAATATGTATTAATATGGACAAGGCTCCTCTCTATTACTTCTCTCTCTATTTTTCCAAGTTTTCACTTGGAAGTCATACGTCATAACTAATTATGACACATGGCTTCAATCCAAATGAAAACTTGAAGAAATGGGAAAGAAAAAATAACGAAAAAAAGCCTCAACCTATTAATTTCACATAATACTCGATCAATTTTTGTACTTTATTATTACTTAAAACATATTTAAAATTCTGAAATTGAATAGAAATATGTATAATTTGATCTAAAAATATCATATTTACATGAGTTTATATTGTTGTGTGAGTGGTTACTACCTTTTTCAATACATAATTGAAGTTGATTGGTCCACTTCATCACTTATGACATGGTCGATTATTTAATTATAGTGTTAGAGTCCTAATACAAAAGTGATATCTTTTTGATTCTCACCTTCATAATGATTGGTCCACGTCATTGAATATGCCGCCTCAACGAACCCCCCACCCTTAAATATATTGATTGCTGTATTTGATATTTTGAAGAGTCCATAGCAAAGAGAAGTAAGAGGAGAATTGTGGAGCTAGTATTTGAAGAAAATTGATAAGCGAGCAATGGCTGGTGGTGCGTGGAAGCTAAGTGCATCCTGGATCATCTTGTTCGGTAAGTTTTTTTTTTTTTACTCTTTGTTCAATTTCAATCTCACATCTGTTTGGGAATTGATTAGTCAATCTCGATATATATTGTTCAATTGAAAATTGCTAGTTAGTTGCACAAGTAGCTGAGAGTTTGGTTTGGTTGGTTCTAACATTAGAATGGGAAAAGTGATAATTATGGTTATAACAATGCTGATTGTTGTGTTTCTCTACACATGCAGGGTGCTTGTTCGCATATTCTGTAGCCAACGAAGAAGCTTCCAAGTTGGGAACAGTTATTGGAATTGATCTTGGAACAACTTACTCATGTGTTGGTGTTTACAAGAATGGTCATGTTGAAATTATAGCAAATGACCAAGGTAATCGCATCACCCCTTCATGGGTTTCATTCACAGATGGTGAGAGGTTGATTGGTGAGGCAGCAAAAAATCTAGCCGCTGTGAACCCAGAAAGGACCATCTTTGATGTCAAGAGGCTTATCGGAAGAAAGTAATATACATTATCTTCCTTTTTTTTCAAAATATAATGTCTGAATGTTTGTGTCATATAATAGCAATGACTCAAAACTAATCTATTTGATAGGTTTGAAGACAGAGAAGTTCAAAGGGACATGAAACTTGTTCCGTACAAGATTGTTAACACGGATGGTAAACCATACATCCAAGTTAAGATTAAAGACGGGGAGAACAAGGTCTTCAGTCCTGAGGAGATCAGTGCCATGATTTTGACCAAGATGAAGGAAACAGCTGAGGCTTTCCTTGGAAAGAAAATCAATGATGCAGTTGTCACTGTTCCCGGTAATGTTGAAAAGTTCCTTCTATATTAAGTTCCAACAATTGTATCACATGATTGCTGATCTTTTTATCTGTTCTCCGCTGCAGCTTACTTTAATGATGCCCAGAGGCAGGCCACTAAGGATGCAGGTGTAATCGCTGGACTAAATGTGGCAAGAATCATTAATGAACCGACTGCAGCAACAATTGCCTATGGATTAGATAAGAAAGGTGGTGAAAAGAACATCCTTGTCTTTGACCTTGGTGGTGGAACATTTGATGTTAGCATCCTCACCATCGATAATGGTGTTTTTGAAGTTCTTGCAACAAATGGAGACACTCACCTGGGAGGTTAGCACCCCTTTGTTAACTGCATCAATTGCTGTATTTGTTTTTGTTAGTTTTCCCATATATATTGATATAATACTAAAAATTTACACCAGTTCAAGTTCGATATCTGATTTAGCTTGACGAAAATAAATGCTAGTTGTAAAAACTATTAGTTTCAAATCAGCCTTGTTCACAAGTCACCCTACACATTGATAGTTTCTTCATTGCAGGAGAGGATTTTGACCAGAGGATCATGGAGTGATTAAGAAGAAGCATGGGAAGGACATCAGCAAGGACAACAGAGCTTTGGGTAAGCTTAGGAGAGAAGCTGAGCGTGCCAAGAGATCTCTGAGCAGCCAGCACCAAGTCAGGGTAGAGATCGAATCTCTCTTTGATGGTGTGGATTTCTCCGAAGCACTAACTCGGGCACGTTTTGAGGAGCTAAACAATGATTTGTTTAGAAAGACAATGGGGCCTGTTAAGAAGGCTATGGAGGACGCCGGGCTAGGGAAGAACCAGATTGATGAAATTGTTCTTGTTGGTGGAAGTACCAGGATTCCTAAAGTTCAACAGCTTTTGAAGGATTATTTTGACGGCAAGGAACCTAGCAAAGGAGTCAACCCTGACGAAGCAGTTGCTTATGGTGCAGCAGTACAAGGAGGAATTTTGAGTGGCGAGGGTGGTGATGAAACTAAAAGTATTTCTTCTTCTGTCTGTCTTTTATCCATTTGATGGAGATTTGATTCTTTTAAAAACCATATATTTGACAATTAATTTTGGAATTTAACCAGATATTCTTCTTCTGGATGTGGCTCCACTTACTCTTGGTATTGAAACTGTTGGCGGAGTGATGACTAAGTTGATCCCAAGAAACACTGTCATTCCTACTAAAAAGTCTCAAGTCTTCACCACTTATAAGGATCAACAGACAACAGTGACAATTCAGGTATCTCCTTGAAACTATATTTTCTTAGAGAGCTCAACGTGTTTCGTTTAAAGTCTCAAGAGAAGGAACATATCTGGACTTGTGGCTCTCTTCTGACATGAAAATTCTTACATTCAGGTCTTTGAAGGTGAACGTAGCCTCACAAAGGACTGCAGACAGCTTGGAAAATTTGATTTAACTGGAGTAGCTCCAGCTCCTAGGTACTTAATTGTCTTCTGCACCTGGTTGATCAGTTTCTTTTTGCCTGCTTGACCAAAATAATATCAGCTTCCTGACTAAATTCTTTCATATTTCAACAGAGGAACTCCACAGATCGAGGTGACATTTGCAGTTGATGCAAATGGTATTCTGGACGTCAAAGCTGAAGACAAAGCCTCTGGAAAATCAGAGAAGATTACAATTACCAATGATAAAGGTCGCTTGAGTCAAGAAGAAATTGAACGTATGGTCAAGGAAGCAGAGGATTTTGCAGAGGAGGATAACATATGTATATAACATGAGGAACCAAATCAACGACCAGGATAAGCTTGCAGACAAGCTAGACTCTGATGAGAAAGAGAAGATTGAAACGGTGACAAAAGAAGCACTTGAATGGTTGGATGACAACCAGAGTGGTGAGAAGGAGGATTACGATGAAAAACTTAAAGAAGTGGAAGCTGTGTGCAACCCAATAATCACTGCGGTATATCAGAGGTCTGGTGGAGCACCGGAAGGAGAATCAGGTGCTGGTGACGATGATGAGCTGTAAATGATTGCTAGTTTTTAGTTTACTTTACAAGTGATAGGATATACGCATGATTGTCAGATATATATTTCTTGTTTGACGGTGACAATCAGAAATAGATTTAGATTAGGCATTGATCAATTTACAGTTCCATTTGGAAGACACGTACGATAGAAACATTCATCAATATAGATTGGAACAAGTTTTGAAGTTAAACTTTGAATATGAGCATTAAACTATGATGTTAGTTGATGTAACTTTGTTACAAGCTAAACCTGAGCCAAATAAATAGAGTTGAGTTCTTTGTTCTGGCATTTTAGTACTTGCTTTACGCAGAAATTGTGGATGTAAAAATGCATCATGAGTCAAAAATAAATAAAATGCTGCGCATCCGGGGAATCGAACCCCGGTCAGTACCGTGGGAGGGTACTATGATACCACTACACCAGATGCGCCTTCTAGTCTTTTAGTATGTGTAGTTTTTATAACACTTCGGTTGATCAAACCTTAGGAGTTACTACTTGTAGGGCTATTCAAAAACCAAACTAAAATTAATAACCTAAATCAAAAATATGTAATTGGTTTATCCATCTTAGTAATGTTTTTAATCTTTTTTATCATCAGGTTTTTGGTTCTTTTAACTGTTTGAGTAATGAGTTAACTGATAACTTGATAGTAAATTAATAAAAATATTTATAATATTCGGTATATAAAGTTCTTGATTTAGGGCTTTGTTTCATATTTTTATTTTTAGATGTCTCAAACTCTCGATTATTCTACAATGTGTCAGTGTTTATTTTTAGGTTATATGCAATATGTCAACTCGTCTGCGTGGTTCATTTGATTTTTCACCTTGTTTTAAGTGATTTTAAATAAAATAATCGTGTCAAATCGTAATAGTTAAAACCAGTGGTGGAACCAGAAATTTTATCAAGAATATCCAAGAATAATGGTGTGTGTCTGTCAAAGTAGAATAAAAATTATAGCTCTATTTGGGGTTCATACTCCAAACTGCTCATGCAAATGGACACACATTACCACTATATCAAAGACATAACTTTAGTTAAGGGTGTCCAACTTTAAATAAACATCCTTTAAATATAGAATTTGACATATATCTACAAATAAACTAATCAGCAAATGCGGCTATAGCTCCGCCCCTAGTTAAATCGATAATTGATAACTAATAATTCGATAGTCGATAAATTAATATCTTAATGATATCTACAAATCAATAACGAATAAATCAAATCGATAAACTTTAAAATTGAACCGAACCGATCGATATGCAACCTGATAGTTAGGGTGGAAATGAGTAAAATGAGTTATACTATTATTTTATACTAAATAAACTATTAATAATAATACAAGAATAAAGTTTTTGCTTTTACAATGCAAATAAAGTTTTAGCAATGAGTATGACAGGGGAAGCCAACATTGAAGGCAAAGTTGTAGGGTATTAGAATAATGAGGAAAAATGTATGTAAGGTTAGAGAGATAATGGGATTATTATTTTGACCATTCTCCTCACTCCTCGCCTATCTCTCCTCCATTTGTTCTTTTTTCCCTGAAACCGGACAAAGAAAGACCCTCTTCTCCTCGCTCGACTGGAGATCGAGCTAGGAGAACGAAAACCAAAAATTAATAAATAAAATCAAAGAAAAATGTCCTGCGAAAAGATTGACGGCCTGGCGAGGTGGTTCGGCACCAGTGTCGCATCGGCATTCTTTGCCTCATTGGAACGATGTGCTTGTGTCAATCTCACAACTTATGCCTCTGATGATGAGGAAGAGGAAGAAGCGAAAGATCGACCTCTTTTTATGAACAATTTGCCTTCTCATGTTGATCCTTGCCCTAGGAACAACAATTCTCATTCCGTTGACAACCTCCCTGTTTAAATCATCTGGTAATTTCATCTCATTTTGCATCACTTGCTTGGCTTTTGCATTCCACAATTTTATTTTATTTTTGTTGTTAGTTCAATGTATGTTGCTGGATCTCTTGCCTTTATGGAGTTAATTCTATATATATTGCTTTGGTAGGTGATTATTTGTGTGTTTGTATGAATACATTGCACAGATGTTATTGAATTTAGTGTTGTTCTTAAACAATTAAACATTGAATTCTACGATTGGTTGGATTCGTGTGTACAAATCCTTTATGTCCATTCTATTATGGTGTTCAAATGATTCATCATAATTGGATTACGAAAAGGTATTACTAAGGAGTTCTCTCTAGTTTGTACTAGACAAGGGAAGGAAGAGAGTGGATGCATATTGTACGCTTACAAATCTGTAGAAGGCTGTTTCAATGCCTCGAAGCGATAATCTACAGGTTATCAGAAAAACCTGGAAACTGATGGCTTTTGCACAACAGTGATTTCAAAGTTAGAGATGCTTTGGTCCTCTTCTGCCAGATGGATGGACTCTTAAGGGTTCCAGGTAGGAAAGAGAGGGAAAAGGTTATTTACTTCATCAACTGAAAACCTATCGTGAATGGAGGTTTTCTTTTGTACTCTTGCAGGAAAAAGGTTTAAGGAACAAAGGAAGAGAATGGAGTTAAAAGGCTAGCAGACTTTTGGTTCTAAGTGGATGGATCTATAAAGGAGCTATCTCTTGTTGTTTTTTCACAGTTTTATCCTACTAATGGAGAACTGTAGAGGTGGAACCAAGTTACTAGCTGCTACTCTTAGTATTGGTACAATATTGACACATGCATTGCCATAGGTTGTCTTACACTACATGGCTATTTGGTGGACATAGGATTTATCAACAAATGGAACGATGAATTTCTTGGAAAACTAACTTGGGCTGGCTGTTAGAGAATTGGCAGGGTTGGCTTGTGTCATTTTTAGTGCCTAATCGCATTTACTTCCAAATGTTTCCTTTAGGAACTCCATTCCCAAGATCGTCGAACAGGATTGTCAATTATGACATCGTAACACATGGAGCTTGCACAATGAGTTGTAAAAGAGTTCAAGTCTCATAGATGATAGAGATCTATCTGATTTCTTAGTTTAAGTATAAGATCATTGGCAAATGTATAGCACATGAACTACATCTTTATTATTTTGTTTATCAGAGAACTTGTGCGGCTTCCGGCTACAATTACCCTGGATTTATGATCTCAGAAGAGAAAGAACTGATTTGGACTAGGATTCTGTTTACTCTTGCAAAGAAGGTTGCCACGGGATCTTCTGCAGGGATTATTTTGAAACTTCTATCATTTGGTGAGTTAGATTTATGCCTGTTAAGTGCAAATTTGGAAACCCTTTAGTCTCAAAGTCAGTAAGCTTTTAGACAGTTGGCTTTCTGTTAAGACTCAAGTGCTTAGATGTGTGGCAATCCTTATGGTTGGAATGTCTAAGTACCAAACTTGAAGAAGATTAACAAATCTTTTGTTATTATAAGTGACTCACTGATTTCTATGTAAGTGTTGGGGAAAACCTGGGGCATACGGTTGCTGACATCCAGATATCTTGTCCAAATCGATCACCTAACTACTGTTTGAATGTTCATAGGTTCTAGGAAGAGCTTGTTTGAAAAGATATATGGTTATTATCTGTAAAAGACTTGTTCCAAATGCTAAATTTTCTTGGTCGAGAATCAAACTAATATATTTGACATAGGAACATCTGCCTGATAAACTATATCAAGTGCAAGACTGCTACTTAAGTGGTGTTCTCCATGTTTCTAACATTCAAAAAACAAGTGGTGCTTTCCATGTCTAGAAGTTGTCTTCATTTGGCCCATATTATATTGTGACACCAAAAAAGAAAAAGTTAATATCCTGATCTGATAATGTTTGCTTCTTTGCATTTGGTCATTTTCAATATTTTGCAGCCCGATATCTACTGGACAGCTTACGATGCAACCTTTCTTTCCGTTTTTTTTCATAGAACTGGCATCACCAACTTCGTCATATTAATCCCCTGGCTCCAAACAGAGGAAATGGAAATGTAATTCTGGTATCAACTGTAATATTTTTTTTCCTCTTATAGACTGATTTTTCCCTTGAAGTGTTGTATGATGTGTTTGTCCGTTGGCATTTTTGTTACAAGGTCAAACATTTAAGCACGAAAGACGCCTTTTATTGTTTCTTTACCTTGACATTCTTTACCAAGGGGTCTTGCTTGCTCTAGGAAATAGCAAATGCCAGTGAGGCTGTTGTACTTTATGTTTCTGAAGCTAACAGTGTAAAATTGGCCCTCATAAGCATTGGCAACACAATCTTGTCAAGTTTTCGGGCATTACAACTTTTATGTTCCTGGGGTTATTTTAAAAATAAATTTAGCTTTCATTACTTTATTTAGGAAAACTTCATCATGAACCAGATAAAATAGTATATGTGCTTTTACTCTACTAATTCAGGCATTAAAACTTCTGCGACTGCAAGGGGGTGTTTTTAGCTATGAAAATTGTGAGTGTTTGAAAATTTAAAGAAAAAAGTTTTTCTAATTTCAAAGTGAAAATGGATTTTGGAATTTAGTTACTTCTGTAAGTTTGGTTTTAAAATGTTGATCTATTCTTATATTAGAATGACAAATTCTTAAATTTTTACTAAAGTTATTACAAATTTAGAAGGAACCTTATAAATAGACAGAAACGACATACACAGAGTGAAGAGGTGGAAGTTTTGGTTTGGAAAATTTTTTAAAGATAAAACAATAAAATACTGAAACGAAAAGTTCTGATAAACTGAAAAATTACAAGTTGAAGATGATTATCTAATGACTTTTGGCTGATGACTTATGAACACTTGATTATAAGTACTTTATTGTTTAAAAAAACACATAAATAAGCTAAAACATGACACTATAAAAATGGTTAATTTAGCTGAACGCCCTCTATATATAAGATTTATAGTGTGTATTAGCTCCAACATGCATGCAAATTGGCTCATAGTCACCAAAATTCATCAAGGAATTAACCAATATTTCATAATTCAAAGACTACAATAAGCAAAATCGTTGAATCTCAAAGCAAGGGGGTCAGCTGCTATTAACAATGTTGAAGGAACAACAGTCAGTTCTATACATTTAACATACATTAATAAGTAATAACTACTGAATTTTATACAGAAGAACTAATCAATGAAATCACACTTGTTGTACCAACACTGTGATGCTACTAAATACAATTTTGGAGCCGTAAATTTGAAAATGCCATCTATGTTAGTGTAACTATGTCACCAGCAGCCTTGCCCCCCAAACTTTGATCTAGTATTTAAGTGGAGAAGGGTACAGGAGTGGACTAGTTTAGAACCGTGCACCCAAAAAACCCATGGTACCAGCACCCTCTCTGTAATGAACCTCCCTCTTTTACCAGAAAAGGCGCTGTTCCAACCAGAGGTAGAGAAGAGCACCAGCCCCGAAGCATTTTTACTTTATTTGTAACTGACATCAGCACTGAGATCTCATGCACGTACAGCTGCTACGACACTCCAATGGACTGACTGTATGGCAGACAACAATTCAATCATTTAGAACAGCCAGCATGCCATAAAGATGATGTTCCCCACCATTCCTCCTTGAGAAAATTATAGCCACTAGCTCCTTCCCTGATCTCATTTAGATAACAAGATGAAAGGCCCCGCAGGCAACTCATATGGATAAGCATGTTATGTTGACCTCTCATAAAATATTCATTTCCTTCCATAGTTGGTGGAATGATTGGCCCTAATAAACTAAAATTAGGTGCCAACTAGTGGCAACATCAGGTATATTCAAGCAAACTCTGACATGACTTGTAAGTACCTAAAGGGGCCGGTCAAACATCCTTTCTCATAGGGAGATCTCATTGCAGCAGTGAACTCTGTCGAGTAGTTCCATGACAAAGGATATACACACAGTGGCAGTTTCTGCAATCCAGAGAGGAGGTGCCAAAAGAGGATATAACTTTCACTTCCTTGAAAATCCAGAAATTACTTCTCAAAGTGGTGAAGGCAGTCCATAATTACGATATGACCTTATTCGCCCATCATAGCCTGCAGTAACAATAACTAAACCCCAGGCATGAGAACTGGATGAACTCTGGCAAGAGCTTTTGAGAAACTTGTATTGAGATTTACACATTGCAGAAGGCACAGACCGAGGACTTGACAGTGGAAGCTTCTCTTCAGGCCAGGTCGCAGATCCCTTTGGAATTGCCTCTAAAAACAACCCTTGTCCTAAAGAGAAACAAGGTGAAGCCCCCAAAGGAAAATTGTTTAAGCTTTGACTCAGTACTTGTGAGTGACACTGATTCTCGTGGTTGACATTCTTCAGGCCAGACCAAGGTATAGCAATGGATGCATCACTGTAGAAGAACTCAAATGATCTCACTGCTTCAGGTTGAGATACAGAAGTCTCTTCTGGAATGTGACAGTTCCACAGATAGACATTAGAATCTTCAGATGCAGAGATGATATGCTTCCCATCTGAGGAGAAAGCAGCAGAGAGATGACTTCCTGCATTTCTTAGGCCTAGAGAATAAAGTAGCAGAAAGTTAAAACCTAAGAGAAACAAGAAAAAAGAATTCCACCGGCTATCCAATTAACTAAATATAAAAAAGATTAAGTCGACTGCAGGTCCCATATTTGTAGACAGTTGCAATATCAACTAGTAGGGAAAATAGGTCATCATCTAAAACTCGAGAAGGGAGCATACCTCTGTATTTGCCTATTACATTGATCCCACTAAGGATTCTTACTAGCGAGTCCGCACAAGTAACAATCACTTTACTTGGGTCTTGTGGTAGAAACTGCATTGGAGTAATATGATTGATCAGCATCTTATTACATTGCTATCCAGAACTAATAAAGCAGTAATTAGTATCTGGGTGATGTCTACTAACCTGAAAGCCAGTGATTCTTTTGCAAAGTGACTTCTTCTTACTGACCAAACAAATCTGCTCCTCCAGTTGAATCTCATCATCTGTGATGGTCCAAAAATGTCAAAACACATTTCTAATTTGATATGAAATCAGTATAACAGACTACCCTTTCATTAGCTGCAAAAATATGGACCACAAATTCTATGTCCACTGTAAACTATATATGCATTCTTTCATCAGAAATTGGTATATGACTAACATATGATGCTCATAGAAACTAAAACTACTATCAGGTAATGGAAATACTACTCTGTTAAAGCTTGGAGAAAGAAAAAAACAGAGCATGGGCTAGAACAACTCTGGAAAATCAAAAGACAGAAATGAAAGTGGGAAACCCTCCAACTAGACCTACCCATAACAAAAGAAAGTATAATAAGTTCATGACATTGTGCATAGTTATCTGCCTAAAATCAGCTTGATGGTTAATCAACTGAAAAAAAAGCAACAAATGGGCTAAAAAGCTCTTAAATAAAAATATAAATCCTAACTGCAGGTGATCAATGCTATTTTGGTATATATAAGGAAAAGAGGCAACATTACCAATAAAACTAAAGAAGCAACATGCGCCTTCTATAGAGCCAATAATTCCACCCTGCATGAGAAGTAGATAACTTATTTAATGAACTGCTTGGATTTCTGAATCTATGAGGTAAGTTTGTAAAAAGGAAACAAGATATGAAATAACTACCTTCCCATCAGGACGATAGGATATAGCAGTCACAATGTCTTTTATGTCCGTCCAAGTCACAACTTGACCGCTGTTAATCGCCCAAATACGAACTTTTCCATCAATTGAACCACTGATGAAACAATTATCATTTACTGGGTTGAATTGTACGCAAGTCACTGAAAAACAAAAAGAAAGAAAATAGTGAGTAATGCAGTCTGGAACTAAAATGTCAGAAACTTATAACAGATAGGCTAATCAGCAAAAAAAAAAATCAGAAAAATATAGAATGATCTAACAAAAGGTTTGGTGCATACCATAATTACTATGCGAAAAGACTTTGAGGCATTTATCACATCCAACTTGCCACAGACGAACAGTTTTGTCCATTGATGACGAAAGCAAATACTGCAAGAATAATAAATTATAAAAGAGAACTTGATTAGATCCAGAAGTGTTCACAAAGCTTTAATCAAGTATAGAGCAGCAATAAACATACATTGTTCTCTGACCAAGAAACATCCAATATATCGCCACTATGTCCTCGGAACACATGTAGTGGTTCTTCCAAAATTCGAAAGACCTTAGGCGGGAAAATGACACAGGAAGACCCTGTTGTTTTCTTTAGACCCCTCAATTTATTGATTCTCTCTTTCTCTGTCACCAAAGGAGCAAGTTGTGAAAGATGGTTCACTGTGAAGTACATGCAAGATGGATCTAAGTCTGGAATATCGACTTCATCGGATCTCTCGTCTTCCACCACTTGCCATACACGCACAATCTTATCTTCACCGGCACTGGCTAGGTATTGCCCATCAAGGCTGAATTTCATAGTTAATATTGAACCTTCATGAGCCTGGATATCTTGCCCCACAAAAAGTCCAGAGAGTTCATTTAATCGCTTCTTTCGGTGGTGAACCTTAGTCCTCTGAACCCTAGACCTTTGGACAGTACTGGAGCTGTCAATCTTTGAATTGTTAGTTCTCCCTCTGTCATTTACAATGCACGTCAGTAATCGCAATCTACTTATTAAACTCCGCTTGACCACATTCAGTTTTCTCCTAGCATCTCCATTGGCCTCAAATTCTTGTTGTCCAAGTTGCTGGCGTTCCAATTTCATAGTTTCGTGATTAGTCTCAGCCTGATCATGTACATCGCACTCACTTCCACCATCTGGATTGCCACTCCGACACACAAATGTCTCATTTGAATCCAACTCTTTATATGAACCCAAAACACCGACAGACAAACCAGGAAGATGAACTTGCTGAGAAGGAAATTCATCTTCAAGAATTGAGGTTCGCACCACAGCCTCACTACTCTCCATAATCCTTTCAATTTCACAACTAGAATCAGAACTTCCGTATACATCCACTAGATCTTCCCCCATCCAACTAAAGAATTCCCTACGACGCTCTCTAACACTGCTGGGACTTCTACTCCACACATCATACTGGTAGCTACTAGTGACACAATTATCAATCCTGGAGCTGGATTTGAGCACCTGGGGTTCATTAGAACCCAAATCAGGTACTTGGCCAATATTCTCAGAGGCATCAAAAAATACACATTCTTCATCATCACTAATGCTACCCATTATACCTTTGAGTTCACCCCATGAAACCCCACCACAACAAATCACCTTTTACAATGTGCTGAATTATTCTCTCCTCGAAAAGCCTAAGAATTTTTTTTTATAAAAAAAAAAAAACTACTACAAGTTAGTAAAAGAACAAACACAACTACCAAGTAAACAGCAATTT